ATTTTCATTTGTCCATGCTTTGAATATTGCTGCCATATCTGGTCTGATGCTTCTGCTATATATTTGGAGATTCTTGATAAAATCTAAAGAAGAATCTACAATGTTATTGGTCCTAACCTGGCATCTTGGCTTCAGTTACTTCCCCACTGCTATAATGAAGCTTCCCTGGGCCTTTTCTATAAATTCTTTCATCGTAATTGTTCTGATGAGCTTTTTTCTATGTTACTTAGACTTTATGAATTTAAGCATAGTATTAAATTGTCCGGAAGGTCAACATTTTACACTTGAAATAGCTAGATATAACCAAGTTCTATGCCAACAGTTCCTTTTCTCACACTTCTCAATTATGGTTTCTTATGACTTCTTGCTTATAAGTCAAGTTTGATCTTCAAAAATTTAGATGCAATGTCAATCATTATCTTCTGTCTTCTTAATTCCTGTTCTTTTATTGTTCTCCCTCTTTAATACGGTTTTGTTTTTCTCATATTCTCCCACGCCCAGTGATCCCTTTATTGCCTTGCTCAGAATGAAATGATAGAAAAAAATAAATTAATTTATTTTTTTATATATATATATATATATATATATATATATATATATATATATATATTTATTCCTTGATAAAGTCCATCAGAGGATGGAAACATGTCTTTATTGATATTGTCTTTGTACAGATACATTTTTAGTTATATCTGAATTTTTATACATATTTGTTGACAAAAAGGCCTTAGTGGCATTTTAAAACTTTAAAGCATTAGCTTCATATAGGAACAATCAATTATTCACTTTTTTTCATATTGATTATTTCCTTGTTCAATGCCTTAGTTAACTGTTAACAATGAGATGATATGAGTATTTAGACTGTTGTTTCCTTTTTGCATGGTTAAAGTATGTTGAATGGTTAGCATTTGTTTGAAGCATGAATCCAAAGTCATTCTCTACACTTACTAAACAAATTATAGGGTTGAAGAGGATGGCTCAGATTCATTTGTGAGCCAAGCAAGCCAGCAGTCAGGATTGCTTGAGGACAAGCCTTCTTGAGCTAAATTTGACTTAACTAGGAGTAAGTTGTTTGTTAAAATGTCTACAGTTTGGGTAGCGAATGTTTGCCTTTATAGCTTGTTGAGAGCTGCTGCCTTTGCAATCACACTGGGGTTACCAGCAGAAAGTTCAGCATTCTGATAGAGGTTGAACACTGAATGCCTAGCTCACTTATCATACTGGTTAAACATTTAACAGTGGGACCCAAGAAGCTTTGTTACTGTACTGATTTCTTATGCTCTAATGGGTTTTTTTTTAATTATACAATTTTTTTCCCTTTGGGTCATTGTTTTTCCTGTGTAGAATACTTAAAAAAAAAAAAAAAAAAGAAGCTACACACACACTATCCACTATGTTACATGGAAAGAGAGTAGAAATACTGTCTTTAAAACTTATGCTTATTCGGTTGTAGTCAGATAACAGAATGTCACTTCCACTTTAACATACCCAACTAAACAAAGGAAATAGGCTTCAAGATTGAAGCAGAGACTGCATCTGCTTGCACCTGGAACTCCCACAATGTAACAGAACCAACAAAACCTGATGTTATCACAATGTACTGCTGGGTTAGTAATAACGATCCTGTGGTCTCAAAACATGTCTAAATCCAAGCTAAGTGTTTTGTTGGAGGTAATGCTGCTACTGTTGTACATGTATATATATATATATATATATATTATATAAACACACAGAGCAATAGCCATTGACTAGTACCTTGTAAAACACTCTTTAACCTAATGAAGAGTAGCAGTGCAACATAATATCAACCCTAGAAGTAGTCAGATCATCTTTGGAGAGATGTTGATCCCTCCATCTCCCTGATATTTATAAGTACAAGATCTTGCATTCAAATAAGTCTCACTACCACGTTCCATAAAAACTTGATTGGGCTCATGCCAGTTGAATGTGGCCATTACAATAGTCATCAAAATCTTCAGAATGTTCCTTATACCAATTCTGCTTGGGTGCATAGAATCCACAAAATGGGTACAAATATTCATGAAGCAGTGCTACGCAGCAGTTACCATTCAATGATGTATTTACATGAACCAGCAGATTCATGCCACATAACCATACCACACACTATGGAGACCGACACCAGCCTGCACAGTGCCTTATTGACAAATGAAAATGGACTCATGAGATCTGTGTCATACCTGAACCTTACCATCAGATTCAAACAACTAAAACCTTGACTCAACAGACCATGCCACATGTTGCCAATCCTCCAGGCTACAATTAGCAATAACACAAGTTCAAGTGAGGCACTGATGCTAACAGGAGCACTAATGTTTTTTGGCAGTTGTGTATGTATGTATATACATGAAAAAGAAAAAATGAGAGTATGGGGAAGGGTGCTTGCACATAATATACTCAGATATAATTTACACATGTTTTCATGATGGTTTTCCATGGTCTAATTGGTAATACCCACTTGGCATAAAAGTGATTTCCCTGATGGAAAAAAGGAATACAGGTTTGATTCCTGTTGAGAGGCACATGTCATTTATAATAATTAAAAAAAAATTATTCAGAAGTGAATTGCTAGTACAAAAACAACTTTTGAAGTGGCAGTTTTTTGTAATAACTTAGCTCTCCTAAGGTAAAAAAAACAGAGAAAGAGAGAGAGATTATATCATTATATCCAAATATAATAGAGCATATTTTGCCTTCAAAAGATTTTCAAAACTACTAAACAAATTAAACTAAAAATAAGTTTGTCAATATTGAAAAAATTAAAAACAATGGAAAGGAATTCAATAGAATTATATAAAGTTCACAATGGCTAAAGTGAACTGAGGTAGCAAATTATAATTTTTTTGTAGTTTAACTAATGATGGTAATTTCCTTATAAGGAAACATTTGATATTCATTGCCTGAGCAGCTAGTGCCACTTTGGGTTGATATTTATAAAATCTTTCTCATAAGACAATTTTTCAGGAAAATATGTTTCTCAAGTGCACTAGCACTTGTTTGAATTAGTGTCGAATGTCAGCATCTTAATTGCCATCATTTTGTCTTAGACATACATGTGCTATCCATTTTAGCTGTTGATATTGTTGAAAGTTTTCAATTAATGTTATTTGTATTATTTGGTAGTTTTTTGTGATTCTGTAGCAACAGTCCACAGATTCAGAAGAAGGATTGTCCTTGCTAAGACCTACAGGTTTCATTCACCCAAAGCCATTTTTAATCTTTCAGCTTAGAAAGGGGTTGCATACAGCTGACAGAAAGAAACCCCACCCACAAATATTTTAGTATTTGGTCTATTTAGTTTAGATTATTTAGATTGTTTATTTACATGAAATATTTTATATTTTATCTAAAAGCTAATACAATTAAAACTAATGCAATATTTATTATTTACCAATTTATAAAGTAATAAATGCGAAAACAATTTTTATTCATAAATTTATAAACATCTACTAAATTATTAAAATATATAAACCAACTATAAGGAAATCCTTATTTAAAATTTTATAAAGTTTCAATCAATTGGCTATTAGCCAATGTTTTACCAACCATTCCAATAAATAATATAATAAATAAGTGTTTGTTATTTTTCTTGTCAATTCTCAGGAACAAAGAAAATATATAAATTCACTTTCATATGTTTAGGTTTTATTGCAATTTATTACATCGCTTTTTAAAAACAAATATTGCTGAAAAGTGAAAGTAGTTAAAAATAATGATATTATTGGAAAAACCATGTTTGACACTACCTCTTATTGTAGGCAGATTTGTCCATATTTGCTGATTTAAAACTTTTAGTTTATGGATATGTGGTAGTGTAATGGATTGTGCCACAGATTGAGGAATCAGAGAGCCAAGTTTGAATTCCAGTCAAATCCATTACATTCACTTACGTGCTAATATGTTTGGGAAAGGTATGAATCCCCCCCCCCAGCTATGGGTAAATAGCAGGACAGACCGGGTTCTATAGCCTTGGATGGCAACTGGTCAAACAGAAAGAAATGGCAACCTACTGTGGGAAAAAAAAAACATGCCTCGTCTTTTGATACATGATGGGCTAAGCATGTATCATGCATGGCACATAACTGACTGGGTGGTGTAATAGGCAGCAGCTTGGAACAAGAAATTGGCAAGCTGAGTTCAAAGTCCAGTCGTTTTGTTATATTCACTTTCATGCAAATACTCTTGGAACTCCATTTCTCCCTCCCAGACCCAGATACGAATCAAATAGTATGGCATACTGTGCTCTCTAGCCTTGGTTGGCAACCAGTATAAGATTGGAAAGGCATTGTGTATTATGAGCTCCTTCCTTTTCATTTGCCCCCAGGATCTTTCCTGCCTCCACATTGTTGTAAACAATCCATTTTTCATTGCCTGTTATCAGTCTTTTTAAAAATGGTTCATTTTTATTGTATTTGAGTAGAGGATCACGGATGGAGATACAGTATAGCAATTTGTGAGGTACCCAAACATTATAGTGATTCACAAATGTTTTCAAATGTCTCATGGCACTCATATGAGATAAGTGGAATTTACATACCATGCAGAAGTATGGTATGTAAATCTTGCAATCTCACTACTTTTTGTTATAAAATATTCAACCAAAACTTATTTCACTGAGTAAAGTGAAGTACCCGCTGCCATCATTGTCACAGCTATTATGCAAATTATATAAATTTTTATCATCACTTCACTCATTATACTGTCCTATCATTACTAAAAGAGCAAACTCAAAAAATTATTTAAATATATATCCGCGTCATTAATAAATTAAAAGCAAATAAATTGTCAACTGAATTTTCTTGTCGATACCGTGTTTACACTACACTCACAGTGTTACTAAAGATATAACTTCCTAAAACAGAGTAATAGTCGTTTGTGTAAAACAGATTTGCTTTTTAATACAAGAAAGTAATAAAAGAAAGGCGGGGATCATAAATATGTTTAGGATATTATTGTTAAATAATGGAAAATCATATACGCACTTTACTTCAACTTCGGGTTTGTTATGTCTTTCTACAACTTGCGATTCAAAATTCTGCAAGCACATAGCTGCTGTTAGTGTATGCTTCACAGCCGTAAGGTAAGGTCGTAAAGTTGCTGCCTGAAAACACAAAATTATTTTTTTAAAAGTTTAAATTATTAGAGAATACAGAAATTAAAAAAAAGTTAACCAAACAGTGACAGTTAAATTAAAAATAACAGGACTCAAACAAATTTGTTGTCTTGTATCATACTGATATATAAAAAAAATACAGTTACTTCAAAATCGACGTGTCTTCTTTCAAACCTACAATTTCAAGTCAAAACATTTAAAACTAAAACAAAAAAGACCTACGAAAAAAGACAGACTAATAAATAATATGCAAATATTTCCACCCCCATTTTCATGAGCATTTGACAAAGTGAATTACAGTCATTATTATGATGAACATTCCGTTCTAATTATTTACAAATTACAATCTACCGTTTAATTAGATCTCTTAGTAGTCTTATCCTTCAAAAAGCGTTAAATGCCTTTGTTAAAATAAGTTATATTTCTAATTTTGCAGATGAAAAATAATAACTTGTATTATAATTCAAAATATTGAAAATTGGATTATTGTTCTTATTGACAAACAAAACGTCATGTCAATTTCATCTCGTATTTTAACAGGCTAGAAACTTTGAAATACAATGTTCAAGTTTAAATTAAGTGTACTGTACATGATTCTTTAAAAAACAAAAAAAAACGAAAGACGCGTTACCCCTTCCACCAAAAAACCCAAGTTAGCAATTTCTGTTCAGAATGAATCATGCTATTATACAGCAAAAATGAACTTCGTTTTTATTTTATTATTATTTTAATCTCTTTACGAGTCAGTTCTGACAGTATATTTTTATAAAAAAACAAAAACAAAAAACAAAGTGACAAAAAGGAGAGGGAATCCGGAATCATTATTCCTTTAGTTTTTTTTATTTGTTATATAAGTTTCTTACTTGATTTTTAAATTTTAACGCCAAAGTCATACAAGCACAAGGCCTTAAAACGAATAAGTGAGGAGTCTGGTTTAAGAGGATCTGGTCTGTAGGCAAATCTAAGTCTCAGGAGGATGTGATGAGATACAAACACGTCTTTGTATTTCAAAAAAATGATGAAAGCAAGAGGATGGAAGTAAAAAAAACTCAAACAAGAGAGGGCGTGGTCAATTAGACTGGCTTTAATCACAAAGGAAAAAATGTAATTTAAAAAATAAAAATATAGCTTAAGAAAGAATGGAAAGTTAAACGAAGACAGCTGATTCTAAAAGCCTATCCTTTAAAAATAAAATTAACTTTTAACTACTTTCATGTGTTGTCCGGAAAGAGCAGATCACAAACTTGTAATTTCACAATCGAAAGATAAAAAGGGCCAAAAAGAAAAATTAATAAATAAACTAAACAAACACTTCGTTTTTTATCCAATTCAAATTATTTAAGTTTATTTTATATTCAAACAGTAAAATTAATGTGTTCCAAAGAGTGAATAGTAAAAAGAAAAATTTGAATATGCCAGGACTACAAAAAAAAAATATATCAAAGCAACTTTGTTGTGTTTTTTGTTCATACTGTCAAGAACAAGGGGTGTTGTTTCAAAATGAAGAAATCGCATTGTTTTGGATTTAATCTTATATTTTTTACTTACAGGACATTAGTATATTTTTCTATTATTATCTTGATATAAAACACAAGATCGAAGTTACAATTACGAACGTGGGAGTTAGTTATCATAAAAAAAAAACAAAACCAACAATAATATTTTACTAATAGTGACACACACTTAAAAAAAAAAGTCTGAGGTACATGATAGATAAATAAAACTAAAACTATCAGTGTGGATTTTAAAACGGTTATGATGGTCAGGTTTGAAAGCTAATGAAGTTTTTTTTAAAAAGTAACTAAAACAGTGACATGTCTGTTAGTGTTACTCAACTGTTAAAACTGTTTCATTGGCATTATTGGGCGAGGTTTTTTTTAATTTATTTTGTTTGTAGTAATCGACAAAAGAACTAGTGCAGCTAATTGCAAAAAAATAAAACAGTTTTAACTTAAGCTAATGAGTCGAAATATAAGCAAGTTCACTAAATGCTAATGAAAATGTGTCTTGGGATTATAAAACGATTTTACTTACCATTGTAGCGACTTAATACAGTACGAGAGAGAAGTAAGACTTCTTTACTAAGCAAATCTAGTGCAACCACGCGCATGACCGGAAGATATACACGTTGTTGCTGCTGCTACGTCACACATCATTTCTACCAGACGAAAAAGGGAAGCAACTTCACTTAGTAGTAAATATTGGCCAATTTACAACACTTGATAATTTTTCAATAAATGTCAACTATCTTTAACTAACACAAGGAGGAGATTAAATATTTAATTTAAACTCATGCTAATTTTTCACAAGTACACCTCAACATTAACTGGTGACAAGCTAAAATACTGAGGAATTTCTTCCTGATGCAATTATTTCATATTTGCTCAATGTTATAACTGAACAATCCATGAACAATTAAACTGTTTGAAATATGCATTAAGAAAAGTCAGAGTATGAGAAATTATTAGACAATAAATAATTGTCTATTATAAAGAAGTCATTGAATGAATATTAGATTTTCAAAAGAAGATATGAAAGGCTTAAGGTATAACTGACTAGATGATTTTCTTTTTACAATTAATATTTATCTTTAAGGAAAATTTTGCAGGATAAGGCATTTAGCTACATTGTCATTTTGAGTATAAAATCTTCATAAAAATCTTTTTACAAAATGAACACATATTCAAAAAAAATGTTCAGAGATTATTTAACATTGATATTGAATTAGACAAGTGTTTAGAAAATTATTGAAATTGAAATGATTACATTTTGTTAGGAAATAATCCAAATTTTATATTCATCTTAAAGAGAAACCACTGGATAAAGAATTACTAAACTTAGCTTAATTTGATACTAAAAATAAATTGAACTAATTTTTCAAGTATGGAAGTCTTGAAAATCAGGATTGTAGATATGGTACTGCTGAAAGAAAATACATAGCTAATCCACTAGGAAATTTGGGGTGAGGGATTATTTCTATAAATGATTATAAATATTCAAGTAGTAGTAGATGTGATAGCTGGGAGAAGGAAATACAACACCGGGGAGGGGGAGATGTCAGGTAGTAGTAGACATGATGCCTACCAAAATATCTGAAAACTTGACTGAGTGTAAACTAAAAAAACACACACAAAAACGAAGTCTTGACAACCAAATTGATGTTTTCATGACAGATTTAAGTCTCTTTTTCACCTCGACTATTGAACAAAAATAGTTGTTTCCATAACAGAGAACAAGTATTGTTCTAAAAACAATGCTGTATGTTGAAGACTCTGAACTCAAAAGACATGAATGGATTATGTCACAAACTTTGACAAGTCACTTCAAATCACAAGAAATATTAAGAACCTTCACATTTTATTCCTTCAAGGTAAATCTACCCTTTTAACTGGGTTCAACCTCACTGAAACCCTTTTATTGTACCTTCTTCCTTGTAATTTTCATTGTTTTGTATACATTGGCATTTTTCTTGTGATATCTCATGTTATTTGATTGATATTGGTTGTAAACTTGATCTTTTTCCCCACAATTACCATTGAGCCTTATTTTAGAAAAAATAAGTTACTTATCCACAAAATTATTATCCCCTTTTCCAGGAACACAAACCATCAAATTTGTGCATTCCTAATATTTAGTAGAATTTGCTTTTATTTTATTTTAATAAAATGGTTTTAGTCTCACTGAGTATGTCTTGTCATATTGTCCGATGTTCAAATTTTCGCAATAACAGCTGCGACATTACTCTATTGAACAATTTACTTCATGCCACATGAAAAAAAATTCTCAAATTACCATATTAATAAAAAACACACTCTCTTAAATTTTCAAAAAATTCAACCTTAGCGTTGCAACTACACACTCCATAAGTTTTTATCTGTTAAAAAACATATTTCGATTCGCATTTAATTTTTCATGTCCTCTATTACCTGGATTTACTAAAAACAAAATAATTTCCATGCCTGAGGATGGCTGAATGTACAGCCGAAAGTACTAGCAGATTAAAAAAAGACCTTATACAACTTGAAGTTATTAAAAACAAGGATCATAACATTCATCGAGTGATTCGTAGGTTAATGCAACTTTAAAATTGTTTGCAAAGATGTTTTTCGCCATTTATATCATTAACTTTACTAATCTACTTTTTGTATGAATGATTCATGTAATATATATATATATATATATATATATATATATATATATATATAAATATAAAAAATTCTTGCCAAATTCATTCTTTTGTGATGTCAATGAACACTTGTCACTTTTGTAATGTCAACAAATACTCATTGTCACTTCCATAATACTTGTTGTAGTAGAGACTTTGTAATCACAGATACAACTATAGTAACACCATTGAACAATACTGGTGTCAGATGCCTTTGAATAACAGTCACCCTAATAGTACTTGCTCAATAATACTTGTTCGAAAAGTAACCACTGAATAGTGATCCGAATAGTAATCCGTATAGTGATTAGTATAGAGAAATAGTATAGTGAATAGTGTAGAGAATAGTGATCCATATAGTAATAGAGGATAGTGTAGAAATAGTGATCATTTAGATGCCACACTAATTCCCATATATACATTTCCTTTACTATCACGTGATCTAGTTATTTGAAATAGGATCGCCTGTGTTTGCTCTCTCGTGATCTGTGTTCAATTCTAGAAATTCTTTAACATATGTCTTTGTAACAATGCTGGCATCACCATTCTCTCTGTGTACATAAGTATATTATCACATAAGGAAAATCCATTATTTCCAATAATATTTTTTCCTTTATATCTTAATTTCTTCTTCATTTTCATTACAAAGTTGTCTTGCAATTTGCTACATTTGTTGGAGCAAGCATGTCCTTTATTGCACTCGCCCTTGAAGGATCCGGTCATCTACCATTTTCATAAATAATTTGTCCTAGTTATTTAATTTTGGACAGAAACAGTTCACATTTTCTTTCACTAATCTTAAATCACATTCTTTGATTCTCTCAAATACTTTCTTTACATTTTCTGCATGTTACTTTTGGGGTCTTACTTTTAATAAGTACGTCATCCAAATATGCTTGAGTACAATCCAAACCGGCAAGCATGGTATCTATTATCTGTTGGAATATACTTGATACTACCTTTATACTGAAAGGAAGTCAGTTGAATTTGTATAACCCTCTATATGTGTTAATCTATATCTATAATTCTCAAAATGTTTGTGTGCATGATCGGATGTTGCTTATGCATTTACAAAGTTTTCATCTGATTTCAATGAAATTTTTTTATTTGATAGATAATTCTTCAGTGCCAGTTTTGAGTCCAAATTGACTGGAAAAAATTACAATCTTGAAGGTGAAAAATCAAAAAACCTAATTTTTTACACTTTGCGCAAAAATCAAAGGCAAAATTTAATGTCTGTAAAAAATAGCATATAATCAATATAGAGAATTGAAATCTAACACAAAAAGTGCAATGAAGAGATGGTCATGTGGCATTTACCGAAGTGTTCAAATGTATAGTGTATGAAGCAACAGACATGCAAAATGAAATTTTTGGAGGGGGTGGTGATGCCTCAGGCAAGACAACTTTTGTCAGGGACATCTTATTTTCATCATTTTTCCTGTGAAACAACTGTTCAACTGTAGCAAACCTAAAATAAGTTTTACAGGTGCAAGGCATCAGTGATGTGCACCATTACCTCAATGTTTAAGCACCATTCTACCTGCATATGAGTAAACCCACTCATTCTGTGATTCTATGTGTGGATTTACCAAGTTTTGTTTGTTCATGTTCTCTCAGTTTCATTCACCTAATACATTTCCTAATATTACTTTTTCACACATAACCTTGCAATCCTAGCTCATGCTGTGTGGGCATGATTGCCACCAGGTCCACCATGCAAATAAGGGATAATGAATCATCTTTAGAACGTTCAGGTCTCAAAATGCCTCTCGGAATGCTTCAATCAGATCTCAAAATGCCTCTCGGAATGCTTCAATCAGAGCCAGTGAGTCTGAAGATCAACGTAGCCATCAGCTTTTCTGTAGAGCATACCTGAACTCTTCTGCACGCGAGGCTGATAATGATGATCAAATGACTCAACAGCTGAGGAGAAATGCATCTTCAACTGATGCTGTTGTGCATGAGGCTGAAACAAGATTGAGAACACAAGAACGGTCCTTTTCAGTGCCACCCGCCTTGGGCATGTACCTCAGTTGCACCCAATTGTTGTTACTAATATTGATTTTCAGGTGAGCTGACTTGAAACTTAAACTGCTTCAATTGAACGGCAAAAATTCCCAGTAATGAAACACCCGGTTGAAGATGGGCTATACTGCTATTTGTTAATAATTTTAAGCAGTCTTTGTCCACTAGTACTTGTCTGACAGGTCCAATTTACAAAAAAAAATTACCTCCAATCAATTTGGCAAAAATTTCCTCTGGACTTGGTAATGGGTAGTTATGTTTTCATTTAACCCTGTTGAAAAATCAGCAGATATGCAGATTTTTTTATTCCTTTTTTTAATGTAAACTGTTGATGATACTCATTTGGAATATCCTATTTCTGATATCACACCTAATTTTTCTAGTCTGTCCAATTCATTATTAATTGGATCTAAGGCCACAAAATGTACACTCCTTTTTGGCTTAAATGTGGGTGTTACATTGTCTTTTAACTTAAACATAGACCTTCTGAGAAAACTTCTGGAAAACTCTTTTTTAGTTCACTTTTCAATTTTTCAGTTGCCGTATTAGTACTGGGGGTAACAATATTTATCTTGTTGCAAAAGGAGTTAATTGGAAGGTCCCAAAGATCAAACAATGCAATCCAGTCTGTTCCAAACAAATTAGCAGTGTTCTTTAATACAAACATCACCACTATTTTGGTTTTTCCAGGCAAATAAACTAACATACTCAAGAGTGAGAGCCAGATGTGAACGGGACAAGGCCCCGTCACAAAATGACCATTATTGTCGTTTACGTATAAGCCCAACGCACAAGTTCCGGTCGAAAAATAAAATAATATTTTAAAGTGTTTCTATTTTTTGAC